TCTCTGTGTCTGTCTCTGTGTCTGTGTCTGTGTCTGTCTCTGTCTCTGTCTCTGTCTCTGTCTGTGTCTCTGTCTGTGTCTCGCTGTCTCTCTGTCTCTCTGTCTGTCTGCCTCTCTCTCTGTCTGTCTCTTCTTCTTCTGTCTGTCTCTCTGTCTGTCTGGTCTGTCTGTCTGTCTCTCTTTCTGTCTCTCTTTCTGTCTCTCTTTCTGTCTCTGTGTCTGTCCCTCTGTCTGTCTCTCTGTCTGTCTCTCTGTCTGTCTCTCTGTCTGTCTCTCTGTCGTCTGTCTCTGTCTGTCTCTGTCTGTCTCTGTCTGTCCCTCTGTCCGTTTCTCTGTCTGTCTCTCTGTCTGTCTCTGTCTGTCTCTGTCTGTCTCAGTCTGTGTCTGTGTCCGTGTCTGTGTCTGTGTCTGTCTGTGTCTGTCTGTGTCTGTCTGTGTCTGTCTCTCTGTCTTCCTCTCTCTCTCTCTCTCTCTCTCTCTTGCTTGCTTGCTTGCTTGGTACACTTCTCGATTTGTGCGTGTCATCCTTGCGCCCCTCCTCTCTCTCTCTCTCTCTCTCTCTGTGCGTGTGTGTGTGTGTGTGTGTCTGTCACTGTTTTTTCACCTGAGCCAAAGGGAAGGTGTGACCCCCCATCACCGGGCACACATGGGCCCTGGTTGTCTGAGTCTGTGTGACACTTGGTTGGATGAGGCGCGGCCGGGCAGCAGTAGGGACCCCCCCGAACTGTGTGTCACTGTCTCTCTCTTTCTTTCTTTCCTTCTTTCTTTCCTTCTTTCTTTCTTTCTGCAGGGTGTAGGGGTCGGCGTTTCCGACCCTCAGGCCATTGGCCCGCCCCACCACACCCTGTCTTCTTCCACACGGCTGCCTCTCTCTCTCTCTCTCTGTCTCTCTCTGCCTCTGTCTGTCTCTGTTTGTCAGTCCGCCCCAAATCCCACACACCAAGAGCATATCATCCAAACCCTCTGGACCTTGCTGCGCTTGGCCATTGATTCCCGCCTCTATCCATCAGGAGATGGAACCCTTTCATCAGGGTAACGGATGCGATGCACCGTTGGCGGGCAGGCAAGCAGGCAGGCAGGGCATAACTGCATACAGAAAATATCCCAAACCGCCCGTATGCCGAAAGCTATGCCGCACAGGTGTCTACTGGACTGAAGCGTGGCAACATGATTCTAGAGAATAGAAGCAAACATGCTACGCTACCACTGTAGAACTGAGAAGCACTAAGCTCCCCGCGGAGCGTGCAGACTGGGGTCTCGGTGACCTGGCTGAGCTTTCCATGAAGGTCTCGTCAGCAATACAAGAGTTTCGGAGAAGGTTTGCGCCAGGCAATTGATTGTCTTCATGGGTAGCAACGGGGTCCTGAAAACTGTTTGGCATGTGCGTGGGCAGGATTTGGCACAGAGAAAGGTTTGCACTGCCCTCGGCACTTCGTGCTGCACGCCGCAGATTTTTGTTGGATTCCATCCGCCAGAGTCGAAGCAGCAATTCATGCGCGCACCTTCAAAGATAACAAACTTGCCGCGACACACATTTAAGCTGGTATGTATGCCGCAACTCAGTTTCGTAGGTTGACAGCCAGATGCTGAAACCTGTTAGTGCACACCTCTCCATGGAAAGCTCAACCACCTTTCGTTGAGAACACACACCCACATGCACATACGTGCAGAGTACTTACTTGCATCCAAACGTGCCTGCATGCAAACAGGTGGGTGTGCGTAACCACAAACTGGTGCCTCCAAGCCTCTCCGCATATGCAAACACTTATTGTAGAAACAAGCCAACATCCCCCTTCAACCCCTCACAACAAGGCTCGACATAAACTGAAGGGCGGCCATCCGACGTTCGAAGATGCAGGCCTGTTTGGACCTCAGGTCCCCCAGTGCATTCATTGGTCTGCCAAAGACGGATGCTTCCGAAGAGAATCAGACGAGAATCCTCTTTGGAAAGAGTCGTGTTGTAGCATCTTATCAATGCTTCACACCATCCAAGCACATCCAGGACCTCGGCGGGCCCCGGCCGATGCGGGCCGCCGTCGTACAAGGCCTGGCTAGGTCATAAGACTCAAGAACATCATGACTTGGATGTAAAGGTGTCATGTTATGTTATGTGATTCAGTGTTCTGACAAATGGATCCAGAGATAGTTCTCCTGGTGGGGGTCAGAGCCGTCGAAGGACAGAAGATAGTATAGATATGGACAAAGACACGCTTTTCGCGACCTCTCCCGGCCTTGCCCACTGGCTCGCCGGGGACTTGGACTTCCCCGGGACGACTGGCTGCGGCTGCGGACTTCGGAGATGAGACCTGAAGGGACGTTGGCCATCGCTTTGTGCCCTGCTGGCCTTCGAATTCCGATCCGCGCTTCAAGAATGCAGCCACAGCTACGAAGATAACCGCTGACCGGCACCAGGGAGCGGAGCAAGTGTCACCGGCTTACTGAGTTTAATCCAACAACTTCGTCACCACTCCAATCTTGGTCTTCCATTGAGTTCCATCTGCCGCTCGCAAAATTCCCGTATATAACCCCGGAGTCTGAGTCATGGGTGCACGCGCTGCAAACCCCAAGCATCATGCATAAACGCCAGACCACCTTAAGCTAGTGGCTCTCCAGCTCGAGTAGCCTTTGCTGCACTGCCTGACAGAAGCATATAAAATGACCTTCTCATGGGTCACAGGTCTGCTGACAGCTTGCAGCTGATGAGGCTTCTACACGATGGAAACCTCCCGGGTCGGTGGAGTTGTGTTGGGGGGTCTCTCGAGCTGAGGTGCAGGTTGCACCGTCCTGTGCTACTCTAATGCTGGTGGCCTCAGGGACGTTTGCCATGACCTGCGGCGAGGAGCGGAACAGACTGCACCCATCATCGAGCCCTTCTCGACCTTTAACATGAGGAATCGGTGAGCTGGCACTGGTAGAACTTTGCCCGGCTGACCAACACTAGGCCTCAAGTTTTATCAAGACCTCGCACGCCGCAGACAGAGCACCCAACGATGCGATCATCTGCCCTTGATTGCCCGCTCCTCGCCTGTTAGCTCTAGTCCGTCACAGCTGAGTGCGAGAAGGTGGCACGAGTCCATCAGCTTCGGCTCGCTTGAGAGGGCAGTATTCTTGCTAGATAAGAGAGCTGAATCTGTGGCGTTGCAACTAAAAGTCCGGCGGGGAGGGACTTCTGACCTCAGGGTCTGGGTTCTAATCGTGCATCTTTTCGTGAACCGTGCTGTGGTTCAGGGTATGGGATGTAGATACAAATAAATGGACCCCCTACCAATCCAGCTGTCAGATGTGCTGACTCAGGCCAGCAGCACCAGCTCAGTCGCAACCGGGAACAGAATCAGCCTGAAAAATTCGCCTAAGCGATCATCCCTGCCCCTTATCCTGGCCTGTCCTGCGATGAGCCCTACAACGAACACTCAAAGCGCTAGGGTTGTTTGTACGCAGTCTGCCCTCCCCCCCTCCCCTTTCATCCACAGTCTCCTGCTGCACCACCTCAAATAAAGAAACAGCTGAGCAATTGGTCCCCCTTTGTTTGGGGGCGGGCCAGCGATTGCCACAATTCCGTGTATTTCAGAGCAACCCCTCAATTCTTCTTCAGCCGCGCACTAGCACAGCACACGAAATGTATGGTGGCTTTTGGCGTCTTCCCTAGTGACCTAGTGCTCATCATGGTTTTCTCTCGGCTCCTGCAACCCTTCGTCCTTTTCTGCGCGAGGAGCAAATTCAGTCTGTTTATGCTTGCAAGAAGCTCGGGCGGCTGCCAGGCTCCTGCCAGAGGGTGAGATGCTCTTGGCAGATCGTCGGGTTTGCAACTGAGTGCGCGCTCTGAATCATCAAGGCACGACCTACGACCCAGCAATCTATTTTCGGCTCGTCTTGCCATGCTCCTGCTCCTTCTTCGAGGATGACGCCTCGGTGGTGCTTACACTTTTCTTTGCCAAAGCTCTGCATCAACAATTCGACAACTGAGCGCAGAGAGCCTGTAGGATGCATGATGCAGGCTTGCAGCGGCTCGAGGCAAAGAGTTCTTTCGAGCACTGGCGAACGCACAGTTCCACCCTTGTCATGTCGTCGAACCATGTGCGTCCAGAACTACTTGCTCACGTACGATGCCGAACTCGTGGGGCTGCATGGCAGCATCAGCTCCAACAAGCCAAACCTGAGCGCAAAGTCTCTTCTTCCCCGAGGCCCTGCACCTTGCAAGAGCAGAGCACAACAAATGAATCTCAAAGAATCTCAACAACAACCAAGTCTCCATGTGGGGGACCACGTGCGGGTTGCATGCTACCGGTGCGTCGGATACGGTACGGCCGCCGGGAACTCGGGAACTATCCTTCCACCTCGGCTGCGGATGTCTCGAGCACCTGCTCAGTGCAAGCCGCCTTCTCAAATCATCTAGGTCACCTCCGTGGTAAGACAGAGGGAGAGCTTGATGACGTCATAGGCCACCTCGCACCCATACGCGAAGCAGAAACACTATCCTGCCCAATCGCAGTCTTTGTGCTTTGCGGAACCTGAGCCCACCATGCCTAAAGCATGTCAGTAGCAATATAGCCAGGCTGCTTGATTTCACATCACATGTCTGCACAGTGCCGAATCGGCCAGCTTGAGGAAAATAGATGTCACATCCAAACCCGGGCAGTGGAAGAGGGCCGTCAAGATAGTGCGTGCACGACCAGAGAAATCTCATTACATCATCTGAGACACGGCTTTCAGTCCGGCAGAGTAGGGATGCGGATCGCAGATCCCAGCCAAGGCCTCTTGGGATCAAAGACGCTGCGCATAAGCACAGGATCAAACGTTGGGAGGCTTCCGCATTGAATAGTTTGGACATGGCCTAGAGGCCTAGAGCTACATACATCAAGATGACCTTTCTACCGAGAAGCAAAGCGAAATCGGCCAACCTCAAGCAAAAGAAGAAACAAACCCTCAGCACAAGCCAATACGATCGGGACTCGGGACATACCACACAACAAATACTGGTAGAATAGAGTATGATCTACACGCCTCAGCTTTGCTCCGCCAGTTACGTGACATCAGCTGCAGGCCTCACTACAAGCTGTGACCATGGTGTCACGGATCGCCAGCTCCAGCAGCCTCAGTGTTGTGCTGTGCTGCAAATGGTGTAGGCAGAAAACTATCTTGATAGAAATCCTTCGTCTTTGAAGCATGCACTTGACCAGACATCCTCCCGCAATGCACTTCCCAAATTTGATGCAAATCGTTTCTCGAAAACAAGGCCTTTGCATTGACATCCAGACGATACCCCTCACATGCAAAGCCGAAGCCTATTCGGCGACATGGCCATCCGCGGACAATGAGTCAAAGCGAAGCTTGGATTTAAAGATGACTAAAGGCTGCAGCGTTTACACTGTAACAATACTCGTCGCATCCACAGGCAGGGCCTAGGCTCTTCTAGAAGTTTCCGCCTGAAGTCGCGACATTGTCGACACGACCAGGGGCCCAAAACCACAGCTCGAGAGTGCGCTTTCGGGGGCACAGACCCATGGACAGCCTTAGAGCTGTAACCGTGGAGCCGGGCAGCTTGTGGGATGGTGGTGCTTGCGCATTCTGCACTCCAGTATTCGAGAAGTCACTGCCGCTGAGGACGGTCTTCAGGCCCATGTTTGCCTCGATGCCATCGGCGGCCGCACTCAAAGCGAATGGAAAACCTCAGAGCCTCAAACTCCAAAGTCAAAGCCCAAATGCTGCAGCTACACCGAAGTCAACCCTTGACGCCTTTTTGTCTTAGCAAGCCTCGAAGGCAAGGATGCCGTCGAAGCTCTCCAAGCCCAGGGCCCCAGACTCGCAAGCCTCGGGGAGGAAGTTCTCCCTGACCGAGTTGCGGGGCTGGGCCGCGGTGAGGAGAGCACTGGCTGAAAAGGCTTTTCCGTGATTCCTCCTTGAGTCGAGGTACCGAGTTCTGGGCTTTCGCAGGACTTGGCTAGCAACTGCTTTCGCCCTTCGATCGCTGCATAGCAATGTCCTTCCCTTCGTCGCTGCATGCTTCACACTTCGGGCTTTAGGAACCGAGCGCGCTGATTGCTCGTCCGAAGACTCCAAGGACTCGAAAGGAATTGAATAGACCCGCCTAGCCTGGCATTTGTCATGGTAGCCTAGCTTCCGAACACCGCATAGTCTTCGTCGGAGTTGCCATCGAATAGGATTCTAAACTGATGGATCGTCCTTCGAAGTCAAGGCCTGTGAAAGTGAAACACAAGAGAACGTGAAGCCAAAATAGTGCATCATCTCTAGATCTGCATGAGTCTGACTCCGAAGCCCTTCATGTCTTGGACTCTCACCTCGTGAAGGCCATGTCGAAATCCAAGGCAGCCAGGAATGTCCTTAATGCCACGAAATATCACAGATTTGCTTGGGAGACCCCTGGAGCTCTTCAGTGCACCCGGTGCACCCTGTCGCTTCGAATCCCAAACGGGCTCTCAAACCCGACCTACAGGTCTGGCCTAGACTCTACGTATTGTATAGCACTGGTTCTAGGATCATAAGACTACATGCTAGGCCTGCGAAATGTTTCGAGCACACTGAAAGCATTTTGGCTTCCAGGCGTCTCCTGATGGCCGCATCCTGGAGGCTTCACCTCAAAGTCTTGCGGGTGACGCTTGCTCGGGCAGGGCTTTCCGACGGCATGGTAAATTCGACTTTGCTTCCGGGGCGCCTAAGGCAAAGGGATTTGTTGAAGGGCGGCTCAAGTTTGAGTGGTCATTAGCTCGCTCTCTCTTACAAGTACCTGGCTCATCTCATCCTCTGGGTGTCTGCGCGACCTTTCAGCCCTCTGGGCGCAGTCATTTGCGGCGCCTGTCCTATCGGAGTCGAGGGGCAGCATCTAGGCAGAATCGGACACGTAAGCCCTGCCTTGGCATGTAAATGTCTCTTATGTCGACTCTGTTGCCCACTACGGGCCGAAGCTCCAGGCCGTTGGGAAGTTACAAAGTGTTCTGGCGAACTGCCCCCTGCCGGCATCTCCGCCATGTCGCTCTGGGTGCAACATGTGCTAAAAGGCCGCTGCTGAACTTTCCTAGCTTCGGCGAAGACTCTACGAGTCAGAAATCGAGTGGGTCGCAAAACCGCTAAACTAACACCTCGAGTTGAAAGGCCAAGGAGCTGCGAAGTTGTTGCTGTGAGCGTTGCAGTGGATGCCCAGACCTTCTTGCAGTGGACCCCCTACGGTATGTACAATGGGTTCCCGCAACGCAAGCCGTAAGCAGCAAAACAAGCTTAACGGGGGTCGAAGGTCATTCAGAAATGGGCCGCGGCAGTCGCAGTTGCGGAACCTTTCACTTACCACTGCTCTTCCGGTTGTCAAGACTACTTTTCAACGAGGGTCTACAGCTTAGTCCAGGAAAGGTTCATGTAGCAATGCTGCCAAGCAGCTGTCCGGATATGTTCCCCACGCAATGCCTAGGTGGCTTCTTATACTTCCTGCTTCAAGTCTGAATCTCAGACCCACAGCTGGCAATGGACCAAGAGTTCTTCAGGACTGTGGGTACTCAGTGCATTTAAGAAACCTGAGGCGTGGAGTACTCGCAAAGTAGCACCACACTCCCAGCCCAATCGCCAAACGAGCCACCTGCGAAGAGTTGTTTCTTTCACTGCTCGGTGCTTCAAGCACTTGATTCTGAATGGTACTCCTCTTGTCGACTCTCGCCTGTAGGACGCTGAGAAAGTGTTCGCACATCATGTAGGTGTTACACATGTACATCTCTATCTGAGTCTATCTCTGACGTACGTGTGTGTATATATATATTTATTTATTTATTTATTTATATTTATATTTATACTTGTATATACACACGCACGAATTATGTATACACCTGTCCTATCTAATTATTCCGTTCTGCGTATGCATCCGTAAGAACATGGGATAGATCGAAGGCACACCGCCACACGATTAGTGTGCCTTGCTGCGTTGATTGTTCCCTATCCCTTGAATGGTGTCAAGCCCACGCAATCCAGTAAGAGACATATTGCAAGCAAGACACAAGATCACTGACGGCTCGTCACCTCGGCTGCGGACATGCCTGTGCCACTGCAAGACAACACCTGCAATCCAGGACTCGGCTGATCATCCTCAAGCCCTCAACCCTCAGCATTACGAAAAGATCTGCCGTGGCGCTGCTCAAGGTCCTCAGGCCCTGGGCCAAGCTCGCGCAGACCGCATCCCACCTACAATTTCAAAGGGGCGTGCTCGCTACATCTCAACTGTCTTCTGTTGACAATGGGCCGATTCAGGCTTTGAAACAATTGTAGTGTTCGGCACTGGGCTGGGACAATTGTACTTAGACTTCCGAAGGTCCTACTGCAAACGTGGCTTCTTCGACCGAATCGGTGAGTCATCATGTGTACGTGAGAGAAGGCGGAGATCCCAGAAACACGAGATTCGGCAAGCTCTGAGCGCGGCACAGGGAAGCCACGGCTGTTGGCACTGCAGGCACCGCTGAACTCGACGGCGGTGGCCGCTCCGGTAGGCTGGAAATCAAGGCTGGTATTCAGCGGATAGATTTACTCCGAAAGGCCTCATCCACAAAATCCTACATCTATGTTTGTCCGCGCTTGTACACCCTCAGACAAGGCGGCGTGTGAATTAGCACCTAGTCTCGACACTCAGCAGTTGCTGTGTCACTTGCGAGTGCGTTGTTTTCTGACACCTCGGAGGCACGTAAGTGCTGGAAGTACGAATGCGTTCTGAACTCTGCGTGCAAGTAGAACTTCAGAAGGGCATGAGTCTCTGCCCGGTGGGCTTAACTTAACCGAAGATCACATATTGGAAACACTAGCCCTCTCCCTGTATATTTGGGACGTTGGCAGAGAACCGAACTGCCGAGGTGGGCCTCAGTCCCTGAACTCCCTCAATTCCAAACTTGTTAGGGCTCAGCGGCTTCGCACTTCAGCTCCTACAAACCCAGACCTTTCTAGAGCTTCGAGAGAAGGTTAGGCTATGACTTGTGCGAGGGACTCACACCTAACAAGGTTCCACGCTATAAACACCGAACCAGCCTCAACTCCCCTTGCGAACCCTGAACGCCAAGTTGAAGCGGGAATGCGTGGGAAACCGGAAACCCGTGCCTTCGCTTGGCTTGCTGCAGTTGCGCCAGCACGTCGGCGGTGGCCATCCCACAGCAGACGAGGTCCGCAGTCTCCAAGAGCTCCCCGGACTCTTCGCCTCGTCCGCGCAGAAGGCACCTGCAGGCCGAACGAGCTCCCGAAGCTCGAGCTTCGGTGAAATTTATTTCGGCTTCCTGCTATAAGCACCCATTATTCCAAAAAAGTAAAAGAGCACCTATTTACCTATTTGAGGGCCCGTGCGCTGTTCCAAGTGCTCGAAGCCATCTGGAAGCATGTGGGGTAGCAGGCTCAGAAGCCCCCCAAGCAAATGGTCCCCCAGCCGGGCATTGCTTTTGGTCTCAAAAACGGCGCAGTAGCGAGGGATCTTTGGCAGCGGCCAGCCAGGCTTTTGCTCGTAGCGGTAGCAACCCATGGAGCTATTCGCACAGTCCAGCCTGGCAGATCCTAACACCTGGCAGACTAGTTCGGTCATGCGGAGTTCTGTGTCTGCAGTGTGTTTGAAGCAGCAGCCACGCAAAGTCTGCTCGCCTTTGTCTCCCTTCTTCTCGACGAGAAAGCCTTCGTCTCGGTTCCCGCAACCTTTCAGCCGAAACCACCTCCCACGCGCTTTCACAAGGGCAGACCTGATGCCAGACGCAACGCCTTGAAGGGCACTGGGCGCCTTTGCCTCCTCGCCCGAGCCGGACACTTTCAGCAATGGCATTGCGTAGATTTCGGGAGCCCAGCTTCTGTGCACTTCACTCAGTTCTGCCCTCCAATCCAATGCAGGCATGGCCGGCACGACTACTTCGCTGTAGTCCTCGCCTAGATGGATCAAGGGCCCCTTTCGCAAAAGAACCTCTTTTGTGGCTGCATTCCGAGCTGAAGATTCCGCACCTTCCGGTGGAAGCCAGGACCTGGGTGCATCTTGCACAATACCCGGCACAGGGGCCAAAGTCACGGGAAGGCAGCCAACAAACAGCGACTCCTCGGCTGCCAGCATCGTCGCAGACGCGCAGACGTCGCACTTGCTGTTGCATGCGTCCTGGCAGAATCGCCTCTCGGCCTTGTCAAGAGGCATGCCAAGAGCCCCGAATTCATAGCCCAGCTGCTCGTCCCCGGTCATTCCATTGTCCAAATTAAATGTAACAGTTTGCGGAATGGCCGTCTTGACGAGGAACTCCTCTACGGGAGCAGTCAGAAGAGCTGCCCACTGAGATACCATCGTCACGGCACAGGATAGGCAGGGGCACACCCAGCTGCCCACATAACGAGTTTCTGCGTGCTTTGGCCGTGGAACAAATGTCACCTCCTGCAGGGAGCTGACCCGGCCTGAGCTCATACAATGTGACTTATACAGTATCTATATTGCTGTTTCATAATAATGAAAACCCACGAAGGTGGCTGTGGCACAACAGGCGACTTTAAAGCGTTCCCTGCCCTGTCGGCCCCGCCTGGTTGCAACAGGAAGACGGTCTCTTCCTGCAAAGGAGTGAGAGGGAAGTGTTCCCAGCGCCAGGGAGCTACCGAAGCCTCTTCAGAAGGCAACTCGAGTTGAAGCGGCAGGGAGTCCAAATAATTACAACGAAGTATGTGGTGCATGTCGCAACTGAGGACTTTCTCCACTGTCCATTCGAACCTCAACAAGGCTTCGCGTGTCTTCGCTTCAAGATCGGAGTTCAGAGTTCTTGTCCTGAAAGGCCCGTAGGAAGCTCAGGAAGTCCTCGGCCAAAGAGCCGTAGCCTTATAGAGCACAGCAGAGGAACAGCGCTCACTCTGGACTGGACTTTCATCCCCAAAACCTCAAAGCTCACCACGTGGCGCAGGGAGTTCTGCTCCATCTTGGCGAGAGCTTGTCGGACCAGGCTCGAGAGTTGCGGCCCACGAGCGCATCTTGGCACAGCGCACGCCGACTATCTGCTGTTTGCATGGTCCAGAACCTACCAAGATATATATGTATTTAAACATGGTTCAACAGGAGAGACTTGTTGGTTCGAATACTGCAGGGGGCATTCCAGACTTTGTCAAGTTTCGCTGATAAAATATTCATCCGCCCGCGCGCAAAATAGACCGTTCGAAGGGGCAGGGCTTGCTGGCATGAAGTGTTAAGCTTAAATCTACATATAAGTCATTAAGCGATGGAGCAATGCAGCCGTGGCTTCAGTCATGCTCTCATAACCATAAGACTGCTGCCCGCCACTGGGGGGAGGTGGGGACTGCAGTTCGAGCGGCCGAAATTGGCGATCGGTCGCCAAGAACGCTTCCAGGGCCCCTGCGCCCACGTCTTCGTTCACCTTCCGAGTCTGAAAACAAAATGCCCTTGCGAGATGTGTGCTGTGTAGGATGCTGACCCTCATCGAGGTCAGCTTCAAGCTCAGTTTTTTCACAGCAGTGTGCTGCCTGAGGCCTGCTCTCACAAGTCTGCTGTGCGGAACTGCACAGCACGAAAGAAAGTTGTGGATGACGGCACAGGTTCACTTGCAGATGACTTCGCAACCGCTCTACAGAGGCACTTGCCGTCCAGTGTCCAGCCAGCCTTCACGGTGGCACAAAGGCGGCTGAGAAGACCATTGGGGCGTTCCACCGCGCTCTTGGCCTCGTGAAGCCGTCGAGAACTCCCGGTTAGACTCGCGCAACTCGGACTGTCCTGTACATGGCTTGGACTGCTACCTAGGCGGTCGTGAACCGTAAGTAATGGGCGGCGGCTGCTGCTCGTCGGTGTCGTCGTGTAGCAAGAAGCGGTGGCAACATTCGTGGAAGTAGCTGCAGGCACTCCCAACAGCGCGATGGTTTCATCTCCACCGCGTAGACTTGGCGTAGCCCGGGGTCTTCGAAGCTTTGCCCTTCAACCCGCGCCTCTGAATCCGCTCTACTTCCTCAAGCTCCTACATGCGCTCCAACACTTCAACCGCTCAAACCTTGCTGGCCCTCCAAACTACGACGAGGCTCAGCACCGAAGGTCGAAGCCACGGAGTCGTAGCAAAACGCGCAGACCTCCTGAGGTTCAACGGAAGGCTCCAGCTTCTCCAGCTGACTGTAGGAGTACCTGGGAGTTTCCTCGTGGCATCTTGAGTCTGGAGCCCAGAACATGCTTCGGTCTCAGGGTCCAGGAAGCTTTCCGCAAGTGCAAATCCCACGCACAGTCAGCGCCAGAGAAGCTGCAGGCCGATACCGAACCCGGAAGGCCCAGAGACGCCGAGCCGACTTAGATCTCAGGAAGCCCCTGGTGATGTCCTGCGGGCGGCCGGTGTAGAGTTCTGTCATGAACCTAAGCTCGCACGGAAATCCATACCAGTCTCAGTTGTAGATCAACCACTTGGACCGCAAACCAGAAAGTTGGAACATCCTGATACCCTTGAGGTCAAGCATGGACCATCCCAGCGCAGATCACTCTTAACCCCGGCTTTCTTTTGGCTTCTACTCTTGGCCCGACGTACAGTTGTAAAGTCGACAATCCTGCAAATACATCAGAATTCCTCACCTCACCAGCGCCTGGATCCCACAGACCCAAAAAGGGCAAATGCACCGCCAAATCATCTTGCAAGGGAGAAGCTTCCACCCGAAGGACTGCCCGGCACACAATGGGATGCGCAATTCTTTGCATAAGGAGTTCCTGAGCTTCAGAGGGGGGCGGAATTCACAAGAGCTGGCAAGGCCATAGGAGCGCAGGAGTCAAGTACTTGATGGCTCACATCTCGCTGATTGACTTCATCCCGCTGGGGTAGACCTTGCCTCCAGCCAAGAGCTGTTGCATCTTCAGACGGGCGACACGCAATAGTCCCACATGACCCCCACGTCGATGGCGTTGAAGACGACGGTGCTCTCCCGGGCCAGCTCCACCTTCAATCACGCATGATACGCGTGGACTCCGGGAGCTCGCCAGAGATGCTCCAGCAACTACCGCAGAAACTACACCACATCAAGTGACGATCTTTGGCCACTCCGACAGCGCATCGCAGTGAACCGCCGTCACCTCCACACACGATACACGAAGTACTGGGAGAGAACATGAAGGACATGAATTACGTAGTGGACCAAGAGGAACCAGGCTGGAGTTGAGCAGTACGGCATGACAGCCTCGGAACGAAGGTTGTGAGTGTCGAGGCCAGCCTTCGCCACATCTACCTTCCTTGGATGTGGGACAAGTTTGGCAGCACAGTACAGTACTGCAGAGTACTGCTCTGCATGGGCCAGGCCCCCGAGGAAAACTCCGACATGGAGTCACTTTAACGACCGTCGGTCCACATGGACTCCCCGAGACATCGCACATGTTTAGGTCCTTGCTTAACTGAAGTCATCATGTCATCATACTATATTTTCTTCACCATTAGAATGCCCGAGTACCTCAAAAATCGGACTGTACGTGTGTACTTTGTTAACGGAGACATGAGACTTGACCAGTGTTCCTTCATATGGTTGCTTCACGGAAGAATGCTTCCTTTCACGCAACTTCGTCCCATCTTTTCGCACGACATGACACGCGTGTGTGTGATTTGTGCGCGATTTGTGCGTGCGTGCGTGCGATTGCGAGTGTGCGAGTGCGCGTGCGTGCACGCGGGCGTGCACCCAGAATATCTGCACGTGCTGCTGTCTGTGCTTATACTTACATATGAAGGCAGGCCAAGCATCCTCTTGCCGACGTCGGCCTTGCCCCCGAGGCACTGTCGGGTTAAGTTACTGGCAGCATACACATCGTTGTCCACCTCCAAGCATTCGGCCATTGAAAGCTCAAGCCTTCATGATCACAGCCTCTCTTGACTTGCCCCCCTTCAGTCATGCAAGTCCAGCAGGCACCAGAATGATCCGCTGAACGCCCAGGCGTGCAAGCCTTGGACAGCCCAAGGTTACATGCGGTTTCCTTACAGAAACATTTCCAAGTGCCGGAAATGTAGGGAAGCAGGAAAGACTACACTTGGGCTACATCTGCCTGATGAGCATGTCACATAAGACGTTATACGACCCATTCGAACAATCGAGTCTGTTGGTTGATCTCGCCGAGCGACGTCATGGCAACATTCTGGCCGATTCCTCCCGCACCCAGCACAAGGCAAACTTGCCGTTCAATGAGACCTGCATTGTGATTCCCTCTCTAGGGTGGAAGCAGTAATAATTTTGATACGGCCTCATGCCATGCATATACAAGCCATGTAACACGCAACCTCGAACGTTGATTTCGAGTTCACTATAAGCCTACGCCGGAACAAAACAATTTCAAAACGCCACGCCAAGTAGCGCCCTCAGTAAGCCCCAGGCCCAAGCCCACGAACCATCTCAAACCCGTCAGAATAATTGTCTCCCGATGACTCCTGATCAAAACTCTCAATCCATAGGAAGAGTCGCGAGTCACGGCATCTCATGTCGTCGCTCACACTCGGACACTTCAGTCGAGGCATGCGGGTTCTTCTGATGTGATTCAGAACCTGTGGGGATACTGGCCTAGAAACCCCCCACCTTGGTCGAAGCCAGGGATGACGCGCTGCCGGTCGAAAGCATCCCCTGGGACCTCCTCTCTCAGCGCGGGAATTTCTACCGGGATTCACAAGGGCTTCGTGATTTTTTCAAGGTTTAGAGACACTTGGAGGGTTTGGCCTCGCAAACTCGTGGCTTTGTACGCCGGGTTATGAACCCCGAGGTCGGCATCAAACAACGTCCTTCAATTCCGGGCCTTTTCGTAGGCACCTTGCGAGTACTGTGGGAATTTCGACCAGTAGACGGCTACAGTAGGCACTTCATGTAAGTGTCATGTCATGCCTGTTGCTTATGTATGCAGCCGGCAATGATGTCTGGCAGTGTCCGTAGCGGTCCGCAGGGGTTCAGTGGGATGCCCGGATGCCCTGTCACTCAAAAAGCGGGTGCACGACAGCAGGCTCCTCGGGTGGAGGTCGCTTCCGGTTCCTGAGCGAAGTGCATATGCGAGGGCGTTGCAAGCCAATCTCGAGTTCTTTACTGGAGTAGCCGCTGCAGCGGCATCATGAAAATAACATTTGACCACCGCCGACTCGAACAAGTGAGGGGCTTTGGGCGTTCCCGGTCTTCGACGATGTCTTCGCAGCTGGGTCTGTTCACAAGCACGGGGTCTACGTCAGAGTCATACCAAAAGCCCATACAGACAGACAGGCCAACAAACAAACATGCTCGTATACCTACTCAAGCACATATACATACATGCATGCAAGCAGACATTCCATGCCAGGCCAGGCCAGGCCATCTCACTACACTCCACTCCACTCCACTCCACTCCACACTCACACACACACACACACGCACACACACACACAGAGAGAGATATATATATAT